ACTCAGGAATGTCCCATGAAATTATGGGATTTTCAGTAATTTTTTTTTTCACCACAAATAATTAAGCTATTAAATTAATTATTGTAGGATCTTATGGATTTTGATATATATATGTGGATAAACATTAAATACGTATATAATCCTGATGCAATTGACATCAAAGCATGGTTAGGCAAAGCAGAGAATGAAGCAAGGGCTATTAAAAATATAGATCCAGACAGAGCATTTGGAGCTGCCTGAACGAACTGATGCAGACAGAGCCTTTGGAAAGCTGTAAGAGATTACTGGAAGATGATGCCAAGATTTCTGCTTTTTTGAAATAAACTAAAACCTGATTCTGTGCTGATAAAGTTACAACAGTATTTACTCTCTTATTTTTATGAAGCTTTTATTTTCACATTACTTTACAATCCATAAGAATCAATGTTTTGTAGGTATGCACACACTCTTTGTAACATTTATCGTGTTCAATGCTGCCAGAATTCTTAAGCAGAATTCTTCTGCTTCCTTACAGCTGAACATTTACAGATGCCAGAGCTGGTACTCCTTGCCTCTTGCACCTCCTGCCAACTAGCCAGGTGTTAAGCAAAATGAAGGCAAAAAACCTGCATGCCTGGGTTTGTAGTCTGTCAGAATTCCTTGCCAGGACTCCCCTCTCCCTCTCAAATAAAGCATTATGTACTTCCTTACACATACAAGCAAACAAAAAATAACACAGGAAAGTAAAGATAGCACTCAGCTTTACTGTAGATTTTGGTTGGTTGTAAATGAAAATCACTGTGACCATACTGAGCAACAGGAGTTGCGGGTTTCTTTCAAGCATACATATTTGCAACTATCAAATTTGGGTATTGCTTTATAAAACATAGTTGATTCTTCCAGACATATCTTCTTAGATTATTTAAAGATCTCATATATCTGACTTCATTTTCAAAACCTCTGAGAACAAAACCAAATTCACTTTGCCATTCTGCAGATACACACAAGTTCTAGTTTCTCATAGCTGTTATCTATACAAATTACTAGATCAAGCTTTCATTTTATTCAAATCCCTGTTGATGAAAGCATTTCTACTTCCAGACACACCTTATAAAATCAATCTCGGTACTAAGGGCAATTTACAGGAGAGATGTTTACTTCAATATACAGAAAGAAACATGTCATTTTCAGCAGTACTTTACATACTTAGACAAGTTCTTATTATTTCAGGAGTCATAGCACACATAGCATTTCACCACCTTCTAGCTGCAAATCCTCTTTAGCACAGCATTCTTTTCTGGTAAGATTTTTGAAAAGTAAAGGCTCTATTGTGTCGTAATCAAGCGTCATTTAGTAGAAGTCATTCTTGGTTGGATGCTTTGGGTGAACCGCAGTGTGAGGTGGACCTAAGCCTGGCAGCAGTACTGGGTATATTTCACAATCAAAGCCTGAGGTTTGAGCTGCAGAGCTGATCTAATTCATGCCTGGCTGGCCATGTCCTCCATCCTCAGCAGCTTTCCTTAAATAGGGATCTTAAGGTATATTGTAACTAGAAGAGGCCTTTTTTATTCTTTTCATAGAAAAAGAATGGTTTGGATTGGAAGGGACCTTAAAGATCATCCGGTTTCAATCCCCTGCCATGGGCAGGCATACCTTTCATTAGACCAGATCGCTCAAAGCCCCATCCAGCCTGGCCTTGAACACTGCCAGGGATGGAGCAGACAAAACTTCTCTGTGCAGCCTGTTCCACAGTCTCACCACCCTCACAGTGAAGAGTTTTGTCCCAGTACCTGATCTAAATCTTCCCTCTTTCACTTTAAAGCCATTCTGTCTTGTCCTATCCCTACATACCCTTGTCAAATACCCCCCTCCAGAAAAATAACACCTAGTGACTTTTCACATGGTGAGTAACTTTTAGTTCATTCCTTGTACTTTCTGCTAGATCCTATCACAAAAACAACTCCCCCCAGCCTTTGCGCAGTAGCAGTGAAACCAAGGTTGTGCACACTAGCGAGAAGGATACCAGCAAGATTTCTTACAGCTCTAAGAAAGCCCACAGTATTTCAAAGGAAAAGCAACCTTAAGTTTTCTATCCTGCCCTTATATCCCTGCAGCCCTTGTTACCCCTACATTTGGCTACCAAGATCATTCCACTTATTAGTGTAAAATTAGCTAATTAGTTAATATTCCTCATCTTCCCAACTCAAGCAGTCTAAGAAGGTCTCTGAGGTTTCTTTCTCCAGCCCTCCCTAACCCTACAGAAAGCTTCTGGGAGATTCATTTCACCTGAGTGTTTTCAGAACTAGGCCACAGTGGCGATTTCCTCGGGCTGCCACGGCACTTGGGCAGCGTCGGAGAGCTCCACGGGACTTGATTTCCCCCCATAACACGTTTTCTGCTAACTCTTGGGACTCGATTCCGCACTTGCAAGGTATCGAGCGCACTCTACTCGACGTTCAACCCTTAGTGGGTCTCTGGGCAAGGACGTCCTGCGAGGACCCGAGCGCGCTCCCCGGAGGGGTCCGGGAGCTGCTGGAGCAGCGGGAGCCCCGCTCCGTTCCCAGCAGCTCCCGCCCCGCTGGCGCGGCACAGCCCGGTTCCAGCGACTGCGGCTTGACCCCCACGGTCCTGCCCCTCGGCACGGCCGGGTGGCGATGGGCAGTGATGAGAACCTCACACCCAGCCCCGCCCAGCCCCAGGCTCCCATCCCCGCCGCCTCCACGGGCTGCCGGAGGAGCCGGACGCGGTGGAGGGGTGGGGGAAGGGGGACGGGCGGTTTAAAAAAGGCTGCAGGTAAACAGGGAGGGGACTTTAAAGCTCAGGGGCGGCGAGGCTGGGATCGGCCGCTACTCGGGCGCTGACGGACCCGGGACGGGAGCAGAACAGAATAGCGCAGGCCGCCGGTCGCGTTTCGGGTGCCGAGCCGAGCAGGTGAGGGTTTGGACCAGCTCTTGTGTGCTGGGGTGGTGGGATGGGGATTAGACTGTGCGATCCCGGAGCGGACCGGGATCTATGAAGTGCTTTGGGACTGGGGAGGCTTCAGTCAGCGCTGTGGGGCTGGGCTGGGGTTGCGGGTCTGGACGGTTTGGAAACGGGCGTCTGCTGGCGCGAGCCGAATGCCGTCAGCCGTGGCGTTTCCCGCCGGCAAAGGCTCACTGTGCTCTCACTGTGCTCCCCGCCGCTCGGCGTCCAGCGGGAGCAGAGCTGGGAGCGGAGGGGAGGGATCGGCTGGGAGCTGCCTCGGGGCGTCCAGCCGGTAACCACCAAGTCGGGATTTCGAGTGCTTTCCGATAAATGTCTTCGTTGGCAGGGTGCGTATCACTCAGTGCCCACAGCCAATTTCAGTGTTTCTGGAGTGGTAAAAGAGCAGAGAGAAGTGTTGTCTTTTCAGCATAAACTTGCAACACTGGTTCAGAGTTACAGTGTAAGACCGCACTTGTTCATCCCACTGGGATACACGCTTCAAATGCTTTCACTCAGTCCTGGTTAGCCCCTTGTGAAAGTTTCATTGACTTTAAAATGTCCATGCAGTAGACGATGAGGAAGGTTTTAACGGAAAGATGCAGGTATCTGATCATAGCCTGGAGTTTGGGTCAATGTAAAAAGCTGCATAAAATGCTGCCAGTTTCAGCAGAGTCAAAGCATGAGGAGTCCAAGGAATTCCAGCCACCTTCTCAAAAGATTTTTTTTTTGTCTTGCCCAATTTTATCTTTCCTCATCACAGTAAATCTGACCTCTCCCTCCTGCCTCAAGGCTTGTCTGTACAAGCTAGGCCCTTGTACCAAGGGTGTGTTGGGGCAGGTTACCCCTTTGCTTGTGTTGTAACTACACCAGGGTTTTAGAAAAGTTACTTTCTTTTTTTTTTTTTTTTTTTTGATGGCTTGTTTTTCTTTTTCTCCTCCCTTATGTGAGAATGAGAGGCTTTGACAACTTGGCCCAGTGTGGTGGTGCAAGGTACCATGCTCTGCCTGCAGCACACAGCCTGCAGTAAGAGGAGACAAAGCTTTTATCCATGGCCAGTGTAGCTTCCCCCACATTGAGCCCTATCCTTGAAAGATGACTGACCAGCTATGCAAGTTCCCAGCTCTGATTTCAAAGTGTTTTGTCCAATTCAGTGGTGGTTTCCAATGGCTGCAATCAGTGAAAGCTGAGCCCTGAGACTGAATTGTGACTTCAGCAAAGCTTACGTTTAACTTTCGAAGGGCAGAGAGTGTGGATTTTCCTTTTCAAGAGAAGGAGGGAAGTTGAAAGCTTGACCTCCTGTTTATTCTGCTGGGGTGTGATAGCATCTAGAAAATCAACATAAACTCTTTAGCTGAGGGATTTTTTTTCTCACAACTCTATGGTTCTGCTTGTCTTCCTTTTGGATGAGATAGCAATGAATGTGGAAGGGCAGGCTCTGCAGTATCTTCCTCCTTTGCCTGTTGGTTTGTGCTATATATGCATGCAGCCTTGACAGAGCTGGCTTGCGGCTTCTCAGCAGTGTTGACAAAATCACATGCTGTACTTATGAGATGAAGGTCCATGTCTGAGCTGCAGCAGAAAGCCTTGAAGGCCTGCTTGAGGTGTCTGCATGGCTTCTGCTGAAGAAGGCCAAATAGTACTTGCCTCAGAAGCAACAAAAGCACAAGCCTAGCTCTTCTAGGGCTGTGGTGTTGGTGAAGAAATCCTGTGAAAACTAGTAGAGAAGTGTCTATTTTGTCTAGATTTGCCTTAACTCATGCCATGATGGTGATATCGATTGCTTTGGGAAATAGAGGCAAAACACTGATGAAAGTAAACCAAAGGAAGGGAAATACCTTAAGAAAGGTAAGGAGAGCATAAAGGATGTATGGAAGAAATGCATTTGAAAATGTAACTTATTTCCTGCTTAAAGCCTTATTGAGAAATATATCAAGGTATGCTTGTTCCATTGTAAATACATGGAAGGAGAGGGTTTAATAAGCTGTTTAAATCCATAAACTTATGGATGACATTAATGAAAATAACTTGTATTTGCCTATGACTCCTGAGTGAGTGTGAGGAAGTCCTCTCGTTCATAGGAAGTCTAGAGATGATTTTTTCACCCTTTGATAAATGATCATTTGGTGTATTATGTCCTCCTGCAGGTAAAAGGACACAGAAGAGAAGATGGACTGGGGAACTCTGCAGGCTGTTTTAGGAGGTGTAAATAAACACTCTACTAGCATTGGAAAGATCTGGCTCACAGTCCTGTTCATCTTCCGTATCATGATCCTGGTTGTGGCTGCAGAGAGAGTCTGGGGAGATGAACAACAAGATTTTGTCTGTAACACGCTTCAGCCTGGGTGCAGAAATGTTTGCTATGATCACTTTTTCCCCATCTCTCACATCAGACTCTGGGCCCTGCAGCTGATCTTTGTTTCCACACCTGCACTGCTGGTGGCCATGCATGTAGCTTACACCAGACATGAGAAGAAAAGACGATTCAGGAATGGTGAGAAAATAAATATTGAAGAGCTCAAAAATGAAAAGATTCACATTCGGGGGCCCCTGTGGTGGACATACACCAGCAGCATCTTCTTCAGGATTGTCTTCGAAGCAGTCTTCATGTATGTGTTCTATTACATGTATGACGGGTACCAGATGCCTCGCCTAGTGAAGTGCAATGCCTGGCCCTGCCCCAACACAGTGGATTGTTTTGTTTCTCGGCCCACTGAGAAAACCACATTTACCATTTTCATGCTTGCTGTGTCTGGGATCTGCATGATGTTGAATCTGGCTGAATTGTGTTACCTAGTGATAAAAATCTGCATGAAAGAACCCAGGAAAACAACAGTTTTAAAATAATTCCACGGTTCCAGGATTTTCTAGCTCCCCATTTCCCTCAAGCTTTCTTAGGTGTCAGAAAGCAATAAGCAATCTTTTTACACTCAAGGAAAAAGATAAAAATAAACAATAATTCTTGTTTTAAAAATAGTCTCCCTGGGAAGCTGCCACTGAGGAAGGTTTTAAAAATCGTTCAATATTCCTGCATCCACAAATTAGAGCAGCCTTCTGGCAGCAGCTCTTCCAAGCATGCCTGCTGCTGGGATCCTGTTGTTAGGACAGAGTCACTTTTCAAAAAGAAGGTTTTAGTGCCCAAAGAGAGAGCCAGGAATCACAAACACAGTGGCAACTTCAGAGGCAAGCTAATAACAAAGGGTTTTGGTCAAAAGTGGGGTGAAGGGTTTGGGGGTGGGGGAAGGGGTAATCTAAAGCTTGTGAAAGAGAAGAAGACAGGGAAGTGACTGTGTTTATAGCGCATGTCCTGTTCTGTCTGGAGGGCAAGGGAAGGGCTTAGGTAGTCCGTGGCAATACATGCTACCAGCTCTGCTGAGCATCAGTGATGTTTGTTTTTTTTTTTCCTTTTTATCTCCTTACCTACACTGAGGAGCATCTCCTAAAGAGTTGGGGGGAGGCAGTCTCAACTATTTGTGAATGTCATTTAAGCCAATGCTGCCTCTCCAGTTGCAGGGCTGCAGCAGTAGGAGGAATGAAGTTTGTTCTTTCACTCTCTTGGTCAGATGCAAAAAAGGATTGTCACTTTTGAGCAGGTGGGGGCAGTGTAACTGTCTTCCACCTTTTGGCCCCCTCAACACATTGTGAAGAATCTCAGTACAGTAGATTTTATTCAATGAAGAAATTTTTTACCCCCCTGATTGTGCCCCCTCAGCTGTTACTTTTCTTTTTTCAGTAAAAGCTAAGAAAAATGGTATTGTTTCATTCTGTTATCCAAAACAAGTGCTTCAACTTGCAGCATGAGACACAGTAGATTGCACCTACCAGTGCTCCTTCCATAAGTCCCTTTTTCCTATGCAACCTGCACAGCTTTTCTTCATAAATTCTTCTCACTACCTTCTCTCTATTTTAAGCGAGTGCATCAAACCACTTTCAATCTCTCTGACATTTCACATTGTGAGACTGAATCTTCTTTCCTTTTCTTACACTAGGTCTAATGGGAATTACAGACAGCTTGCTGAGCTAAAAAAAAAAAAAAAAAAAAGGGACCTAATCAGAAATAAGGACGGACTTGGTATTTTTCTTGAAGTTCACATTGCTGAGATGTAAATTTTACATTACTAACATGAAGGGCTATGTGAGTCAGTCTGGTCTTCTCTCTTCGAAGTAGTCTCAAAGGCATGTTTTATCTGTCACTGTTATAGGCAGCTACACCAGCATATACAGCAGCACAGTTTTATCTCCCAAGTGCCTGTCCATTGAACCCACTTCTAGAAAGCTGGTTATTTGTCCTCTTTGGCTTTAATAACTGGCTTGTCCCGAGAATGAATGCATGCTGTTTCATCTTCTCTGTTTGCATCCATCCATATACTTAATTTTATCATGTTGGAATAAACCAAGCTGTATGAGTTAAGACCTGTGACCCCTCACTGTGCACTGAAAGCGAGCATAAGCAGGCTTCTGCTGCTTGAGAGCCACATCCAGTGTTACAGCTTGACTGCAGATGGAAATCTGTCATCTCAAAGGGGAGCAAGAAAACCATAAAAATACCAGTCTCAGAAACACAAACAAGAAGATGGAAAACCATTAATAATGAGCTGAACTGGAAGCTTAGACTCTGAAAACATCCTTAATTCAACTCTAAAGAACAGAGCTTGGCACATACCAGGTTTGTGCTTGGTAAAGTTCCTACGTTGTTTCACATACAAGCATGAAGAGAACTATCTACACTCCCAGTACTCTAGCATTACATTTCTTTTGTAACAAGACGATTTTTTTTCCCCCTGAAATTATAATTAAAGCACTCTTGCAGTGTCTGTTTTCTGTATTACTTGTATGTGCTGTGCATTACCTAACGTCTAATGAAAATCTTGTTCACCATAATGGAAAATATAGGCACCAATACTATATTTAATAGCCAAGGGGTACTCTAAGGATTTTAGCCTTCTGCTTCAGGTTGTTTACATTTGGTTACATCGCCTGTTATCCTGCAGAGTTTATGAGCTGGTGGAAAGTCACATATGTGACCCCCTACTAGAAGTCAAAGGTGCTAAGTCAGCCTTGTACTAGCAGAACTGCAGCTAGAAAGGGTTGGTGATGAATAACTTAACCAGCTTCACAGGTGACAAGAGTTTGTTTTCCCAGACTGTTTTGGAGTTTAACTGGGACTTTGAATGAGACACACCAAAACTGGTAACAGTTACACTGAGATTGTCTTCAACTAGAAGTTTGTCAACCAGATTATCACACAGGGAAAAAAAGAAACGGAAAGTGTCTGAAAGCAACCAACAGAACTTTGATCCAGAACTGCAGCATTGGGCAATAATAGCTCTACCAGAACATATTTACTGTCTCTCAGATTTATTTTCTGTGTATATTTAATTTGACTAAATAACTGCTGTGTAGGGTAAAGTACTTCAGATACTTCATAGGAACATAGGAATTGCACCTTTTTCTACATGTACTACATTGCGTGGTTGACCTCTTAAAAATGGCTTTTATACAGATTAAAATACAATGCTATATGGAATTGTGTGTGTTCTTTTCTGAAATACATCAGAAGTGTCTATGTTTTTATGGTTTTGGCACTTGGTTCCTAGGCTCTTCTCAGAATGAACATTGCAAGAGTGTTGAAAACTGAAGCAGAAAATTTGAAGTCATGTCTGTAAAAGAGGCTGATTCCTTACTGTCCAGTGTAGCCAGGATATAAAGTGTCAAATAATGTGGTATCACAACTGGGGAGTGTAGGAGTGGGACTGGCTAAACTATGCCTTGATTCACCAGCAGAAATCGTCACTGACTTCATCAAGCTAGAATTTTACCCAAAACCTTGAAATGGTAGCTACAAACATATTTGTTAGAAAGGGGGGCAGAGGGTGGGAAAGCAAACTTCACTATGAACTCACAGACCCAACTAGAGAAAAAACCCTAACTCCCATGGAAGAAAGACTGATTTAAAAGGAAATCAGAAGTATAAATCTGTATTTACAACTTCTGGATATAGAAGTACCTTTATTAAAAGATTTATTTTTTTAGACGAAATTAAAAAATAAAATCCTTCAGATGTTTTGCAGTTATCATGAGCCAATGTATTTTGTAATTTCCTATCATCAAGAATTTTAAAGATAAATTATATTATCCATGCAAAGAAAAATGCTCCCGTACCATGGAGGTTCAATTTGAAGTAGTAACACTTAAAAGTTGCTTTATTTTGTAAAAAGTGTACAGGAGCAAATAATCAACAGCTAAAAGCACTTTACTACAAACTGGAAAGTTAATATCTTTTTTTGGGTGTTAATTACAGGTTTCATTGGATTTTCTGTCTTATCTATACAGTCATTTGAACTTGTTTGTAGACAGTGGCAAGAGTAATGGTAACTACTTGAGGCTTAATGAGCTAAGACTAATGGTAATGATCTTCAAGATAGTTCAGGAGATATATATACTTTTTTCTCATCTGACCAACCCAGCTTGTCATTGTCATTTTCTTCTACAGAATATATATCTCTTCCATAAAGCTGGCCCAGATCTGACCTGTGTGATTTCTCTGTAAGCCATCCTAGCCTCCAAAGAAAAAGTCTTTATAACCTAGGTTTGGAAATTTATTAAGCTTCAATTGCCAGGCCCAACTGAGGAAACAAGACACATCTCTGAGTTTTCACCTTTGAGAACATAGCTTGCCCTTGCTATGGTTGGTCCCCCAGTACTACCATAGAATTTAGGATCAGAATTTCACACACCTTCTCTCTTTTTCTGCCCCTGAAATCACTGCCACTAACTCATCTTCCGTATCATGATCATGGTTATTTTACATCTGCCAGCTCTATGCTCAATACATTGTATTTGATTAAGCCATCTACTAAAAACTATCCTCTCCAAGAATACCACCAGATAGCCAGATGGTTGCATAATCCTTTCTGGTAAAGGAGCAATATGGTATCAATAGGACATAAAGTGTAGGGAAGTATGTTTTGAGTGAACTGATAGAGAACTTTCACAGTTGATCTATGGATCACTGCAGTTTGTAGATGAATATTTTGAACAGTAGTGTATATTCTGTGTGCTGCTAAGAACCAACATCTCACTCACAGCCTGGTACAGTACCTAGGACAATAAATACTGTAGTGTGTGAATGCAGTCATACTGGTCTGAAGCAGGGGGCATTTTTTGGTGGACAAGCTGTGCTAGGCAGGCTGACTTGCTTAAGCAAGCTGTGTATTTTCTGTTGTCTAGGCAATTATGGTAATATAGGCTTATCAGCTGGGAAAGACAATAGCAGTCTTCAACTGTTAAGTTGGAATCCTGAAATTTAGTTTAATGGTGTTTTGCAGATCATTTTTTACTGAGGTTCAATCTTTAAGGCAACACATTGAAATTCTTCCCACACCTGTGTGTGTCCCACACATTTGCAGGAATGCTGCTCTTTTAATAGAGTGACTGGAAAACTTGCTGTCTTTTTGGTATCCATTGTATATAACTATATAATATTTCTTTTGTCACAAGACTTCTTTCACTTGATTTAAAAGTATTATAGCAGTCCTAGTGCAGAGTCAACTCTGAGTCTCATTGTTTCCAAGTTTCTGCAACTGAAAGATAAAGGTGACAACAGTGTCCTGTTCACAGGAAGCAGAACAGTTTAATCAAGTGTTGTTTGTTAAGATCCTTGCAACAGGTGCCAGAAAAAAAAAAAAAGTTGTAATCTTGTGATAAAGATTTCAAACCTATTGCATGTTGCATCACTAATGTAATGTCTGCTTACAGTTAGTTATGTTCCTGCCTTAGGTGTTGCATCTTTTCCAAGGATTGAGTGTTTAATACACAGTTTAAACAACTTCCACAATCTCCAGCACAAATAAACAAAACTAGTCTATACACTTATGCACACACATGTGCACACAAACACAGGCACAAACTGACTAAACCATTCTCTTAGTGCTATCTGATGGAAGACTGAGAGATTGCAACATGGATTTGTCA